TGGGACAGTTCATTTCAAAAAACTGATCAGATCCCTCCTCAAAACACGTAAAACTGGCCACTTCATCAGCAAAGATGCCAAAAATCTTTACTTCCAAGTAAATAATACCCACAGTATCTTTCCTAAAGGAATCCAACGCATTACTAAAAAACTGAAAGGGGAGATTATCAACAAAACCAAAGAATGGAACCTGACTCAAGTAAAGAAAAATACTGAATGTAATTTATTAAAATTTTGGAAAAAACCAAAACAAGCGATTAAAGTATCTCTTGGCAACCTGAAACCCCAATTAGACCTCTCTCAGCTCAGAAATGAGAATAACATTATCACAGATGATATCGAAGAAATCAAGACTATAGTTTTAAATCACTTCAAGGAAACTCTGAAGGAAAAGCAGTTCATACTGCCTGAAGAATGGAAAGCAACATATGAAAATCTCCTGGTTGACCCTAACCTTTACAACTCCGCTACTACAAACTTCACGATAAACGAATTAAATCATACCCTAGAACAACTATCCAATAACAAGATGCCGGGTCCCTCTGGTATTTCCTATGAAGCCTGGAAATCCCTCTCAACCGAAATCAAACCAATAGTCCTAGAAGCTCTTAACCACATTTACAACACTGAACAAATCCCTGATAAATGGAAGGAAGTAAACATATGCCTCCTGCCCAAAAAGCTAATTTGGTCTCACAATATTGCTGACACTAGACCTATTACACTTCTAGATTCAGGAAGGAAAATATTCACCAAGATGATTAATACTAGGTTCGCAAAAATAATCAAAGACAATAATATTCTTTCGAAAGCTAACTTCACCAGTCTTCCTGACCAAAGCACATTTGAGCCACTATCGATAATGTCATCAACAATAAATTAAGCCAAAAATACTAGTAAACATATCTGGGTAGTATCATTCGACATTGCAAAAGCTTTTGATTCTGTACTACTCACCAGTCTTGACAAGGCTATATCAAGAATAAAACTCCCCAACAAATTCAAAAACATCACCATGAAACTTCTATCTAACAGAACTACAGAAGTCAATCTTAACAGTTTCTCTACTGGAAAATTTCAAATCAATAATGATATAGAACAAGGTGAAACACTAGCTCCCCTCTGGTGGATAATTTTCTATGATCCCTTAATAGCCAAACTGCTCCATCCCTCCCCAGAAATCAAATACAATGTCCTCACATATATGGATGATTTAGCCCTAATGGGTAGCAAACACGAGAAGTTACAGAAAGATATGATCACTTTTGCCAATTTCTTAAAAATGAATGGAATTAAATGTAACACGGAAAAGACCAAAATGATCTATACAGATACAAGAACAAGTCCTAAAAGAAATCTCACTTTTAAGTTATTAGGAACTGACCTACACGTCTTAAATTACAAAGATTCTTTGAGATATCTGGGATGTTACTTCTCCGGTTTCAACTCTTCTTCAGCCACAATAAATCAACTAATTTCAGACACATCAGAAATTTCCAAAGCCATTATTCAAACGAAAGGATGGAATGGACCAATAGCTAAACAAGTTGCCCAATGGATCATACCTGCAAAAGCAGAATATGCCTTTTATATTTCTTTTCTCAATAAAACCAATCTCTCTATCATGCAGAAGTACCTAAATAGAATTTGTAAAAACAAATACAGACTTGAAAAAACCACCCCAGACCCTATAATCCTCTCCCCCTTGGGCTTAAACTTAGTAGAAGTAGAGGATAGACAAGAAATTACTCTTATCAAACTACTTCTAATGAGACTAAATAATCCGGTCACAAGAAAGACAACGTTAAACGAAGCAATTTCCATTCAACAATCAACAGCAATCTGGAAATGCCCTTTACACCAACCCAACTTCTTTAAAAACAACTGCTGGTTACTCGTAGTAGCCAATATAGCCAAAAAATACCAAATCAATATTTGCCCCATTGACTGCCCATTGGAGCTTTACAAAAGCAACCTCTCCATAGGACTGCACTCACAAATTAACATCCCAAATGCTTTGAAAGCTGCACAATTGGATATCAAGATCCTTGAAGACATCCTAGTAAAAGATTCAACCCTCCGACTTGAATGGCCCCAGCTTGTTACTAGAGGAAAATCAATCAATAATGAGGGTAATATTAGAAAAGCACCAAAATGGTTCCAAGATATCAAGTTCTCTCCCGGCCTAAAAGGAACATCTTCTGCCATTCCTTGCCCTGAAAATCTCTTCTTCGCCTTTATAGAAAACCTCTCTCTTAAAATTGTTAAAAAAGTTGCTTACAAATCTGAAACAGTGATTACAGGTCACCTTTACTACAGAAATAACAACATTATTACACAATCAGACACTAAAATTTCTATTCCTCCTCAAACTAAAACATTATCAATCTGGGTTAAACGCAAAGGCAAATTAACAATTCTCAATCCAATTAACGAAATAATCAATATACTTACAGATACACTCTCCTTACCAATCCCTTCAATATCAATTCCAAATTATCCGACATCTCTCTTCTACTCTTCTATATGGACTGTAGCAATCTCTTCTCACATAATAAATATTATAGGGACCTCTATAGAACATTTCAAATCCATCGAAGACAAATCTCTAGCTTCTCTTTTAGCACTTAAATATATTTGCACCAATGTCCAACCTAATACAACCTTATCTATAATTCTTCCAG